AAATAGTGAAAAAAATATGAACACTTTTTTTCAAGTCATGAAACGAAACCAGGGTGCTTTAAATGACTTGAAAATGTCTTTGACAATATTTCCATTCTACACAAAAAAACTTTCCAAAGCCTCTAAAAACCAATCCAAAGCAGGGTTGGAAACAAAATGGTGAAAGAAGAGGAATTTCAATCGATTATAATTGATTATTCTTTTTGCGCAATTTAAACTACTTAGAAATGTGATGAGGGTAATCAGTTATATCACATCATGATTGCTACAACAAATAGATGGCTTAAAAACTGGTTGTCCTTGATCAAACCATAAAATATATTTTTTTGTGATTTGATTTGAATGAGAGAGAGGATATAATCGATTTTGTTTGTATTATTATACACTTTTCTCAATTTCAGTAGGACTCGTAAACAAGTCTTACTGTAATCGATTATTAACGCTTGAAAAACTAACATTCAACCAACCATCATACTAAATAAAACACAAAAAAAATTTTAATCATATATTAACAAGAAAAACTTTTTGTTGTGCCAGTAGCACAGAATGTTCAGAGTACTTCTTGCTGTGCCAGTTGCACAGAGTGCTTCTGTGCCAGAATGTTCAGAGTAGCACAGAGTACTTTCTTGGAAAAATACAAAATAAGTGTTCTTTTTTTCAAATTAGTTTCCAGGTGGCGTGTAGTGTTATGTTAGAACTGTAAAAAAACGTAGAAAACTAATCAACGAGGCATAACTGAGATCAATTTTCAGCAAAGAAATTGAAAAAAAAAATTAAAAAAACTGTTTCAAAAAAATATTACGAGGCGAAACTGGAGTTTTGTGAATTGTGAACGGCTTTTGCAAAGTACCGCTCTATTTGATTTGTCTTTGTCTTTGTATGTCTACTTTGGTTTCACAGACAGAAATAAACATGTATAAAAAATTGCCTTCGAATTCCAGTGGCTTATATTTACCAAATTGTGCGCCTATCAAGAGCACAGTTTAGCCTCGTAATGAAAATCCCAAAAATGTTCAATTTTTTTTCAAAGGAAAGGCTAAATGAAGCTCACAATTTTGGTTTCAGTTTGGTAAACTGAAAGTTCGCTTGTCTTTTATATAACAATTTGATAATTTTTTTAACGAACTATTCTCGATTGCTTTACTTGCCTCGCTCAAAATTAGAATTTTTTTTTTAAAGTTTCAAATCAATTGCTGCCGATACTGCAAAAAAAAATTCAAATATTTTATTTTTCGTTCAAATGTTGACTGAAAACGCTTCAACATGATAATTTATTCAACCCTTTTTGATGATTTTTTGTGGTACCTGCATTTGCATGAAAAAATAGATAAATTACTAAAAAACGCGAGTACAAAGCTCTTCCCCGTTAGAAACTGTTCCAATTTACTTTGAGGCATGCTATCTGTCCTACTAAAACTTATTGTTCCAACTTTCGATACGAAAGTAACGGAATATTTGTGCTCGGGTGGGTTTTTTTTTTCTTCAGACAAATTTCGACTTTTTAACTAGCCGTCTTTGACAAAATTTTATATCATTCGAAAGCTATTGTTGTCCTGAGCTCAAATTTGAAAAGATATTTTTCATGTGATCAATTTTTGTAAAGTTATATGGGTTTAAAGATTGCCGTTTTGGCCAATTTGGGACAATTAACTCGCGTATATTTCGCGCCATTAACGCGTAAGCGGAGAGTTAATCCGTCTTAAAATCGTTCCAAATTGGTTGAAAGAAGCTTATTTGCCACAAGTGATTTGTTACAAGGAGCGAAATCTATCCTTTTGTACTTTATATGGCGTGTGGGGTGATGATTTTCATTGAAAAATTTCAAATTTTAGAAAAAAAAAATTAATTTTATTTTATTTCATTTAATTTTTTAAAGTTATTACTGCTCCATAAATCTTAAAAGGCAGTTGGAACATTCAGGGCTTCGCCCTGATACGAGCAGTCTTGTTTGCCATAATTTATTTGTTACAAGGAGCGAAATCTATCTTTTTGTACTTTATATGGTAGGTTGGGGGAAGATTTTCATTAACAATTTAAAATTAAAAAAAAAAAAAATTCATTTTGTTTATATTACATTTAATTTTTTGATGTTAATACTGCTCCATAAAACCTTAAAAGGCAGTCGGAACATTCAGGGCTTTGCCCTGATACGAGTAGTCTTGTTAATTATGGTTTTAAAATAAAACTATTACACGAATAGCCGGTTCCCATGCAAAAAGATCTTATTAATTAATCGCCCCTCCCTTTGGTACCTTCTCGCAGTGACAAAAACGGAAAACTGATTTTTTTCTCGCCATTTTCTACAGTAGTTATTTAAAGGGGTTGATTTAGGGGGCGGGGACGGACGCCCTCCCTCTGGGATTCGACTACCTTACTATTAAACGCACAACTTCGGAATAATACAATTTATTGTTCCGACTTTCGATACGAAAGTAACGGAATTTTTGTGCTCGGGGTGGTTTTTTTTTCTTCAGACAAATTTCGAATTTTTAACTAGCCATTTTTGACGGAAGTTTTTAATACCACTCAAAAGGTATTGTTGTCCTGAGCTCAAATGTGAAAAGATATTTCACCTGTGATCATTTTTCGTAAAGTTCTGAGGGTTTAAAGATTGCCAAAAAATTTGAAAATTTTTTTATGCTATTAGTGCTGCTCCATACACCTTAAAGGCAGTCGGAACATTCAGGGCTTCGCCTTGATACGAGCAGTCTTGTTTATTTGCTAAACGACTTAATTTTTACTTTACATAGCATAGCGTGTGGAATTGTTTTTTTTGCAAAAAAAATCAGACAAATACGACTTATACACCTTAGAGGGTGGTTAGATTTTTTAGGGCTTTGACCTGATAATTGCAATCTCGTTGTTCTGACTTTCGAAGAAAACGGCATATTTGTGCTTAGGGTGGTTTTTTCATGCAGTCAATTTTCGGCGATCGAAAAAATAGTTTTTGACAAATGTTTTTTATATTCCAATGAAAATGTTGACTCCCTAAAATCAAATTAAAAAAATAGTTTACCTCCAATTTTTTGCAAAGATTTGGGGGTTTTGAAATTTGCCAGTTTGGTCACACTTGACTTATTTGTGCGCGTTTTGAAGATTTTGCTGATAATGCTGAAAACTTAACGCGAATTACTTATGCGTGGCGAATTATCTTGCACCGCAAAACTGTTCCAAATTGAATTGAGGCTAGCTTATCAGTCGTATTGTTACGTACAACTGAAATTTTTAAATTTGAGCTTTGATTTTTTCCAACACTCATAACCTTTCGATACTTCTATTTTCCCAATAAATATTCTATATGTATTAAAGGGCAGTTGGAACATTCAATGATTAGCACTGATACACGATCAGTTTTGTTTGATTTTGTGTTCGGTCATGTATCGACGTTGCGTTGAGCTATGTTTCGATTAACCAAATATGTGTTTAACTTTGTTCGACTCAACCAAACTTAAATTTCCACAAAGTCTTCTCAAAATGGTTCCGTATATCACTGAAATACATTTTTGTTCGTCTGGGTTTGCCTAAAACAACTATGTTTCTTCCGTATCTACTCGAATGGACCGAAAAATGCTTTGGAGTCAGTTTTTACAATTAAAAAAACTGAACATTTTTTTTGTTTTTGATTAACTAGTATTAACTAATTTGATATATTTTTGTAAAATTTTATTTTAAGCATACCTTAAGAACGATTGTTTAGTTACTTTTTTCTTATCTGAATTGTCAAAAACTTCACATTTTTATCCTAGTTATTTTTTTTCAAACTTTAGCACCTCTGACTGTTTTACAGGTCATGTGCAGCCCTCTTTTCAGTTCAACTATGTTTTGACTTGGTTTGCGACCATATTTCAAGAAATGAGCTCGGCTCTGTTTCGATGTTTCGTTCGACTACGCATTTTGGGTCGAACTCTGTCCGTATGCTTAACCGATTCATACAACATCTACGTCAAACAGTGTTTGTATTCGAGGTCTTACATTTTCTTCTGATGTCTATGGTAAATATCGGCTCCGTTTTTTAAAACAAAAATAGGCTACTTCTTTAATCATATTTTGCCTTCTGCTGATAAAAGAGGCACATCTACCCTTTCAGTTTTTAAAAATTTTTGACGAGAAAAATGCAAAGGAGAGGCTTATGTTGATACCTCTTGGTGTCACATGAAACAAAAATAAAAGCTAAATTACGCGACCTTTATATCCATTCATTTTGAAGACTCTGCGTAACTTAACCCGTTGAAATGAGAGTTCCTCTATTTTCTTTTTTTTATACTTTGAGCCACGCAGAAAGAGTAAACTTTACCCGCCTGCAGAAATAATTTTTGAAGTGAACGCAACCAACAGAGTTTCAGCTTGTCGATTGGTATTAAAGCCGAGAGCGTCAATGATCAGATTGAAACCACGCAAACGGACAAAAAATTACCAACTATTGAACGTTTTATAATAACTTTCATTTGAAAGCAAATCCAGGTCGAACTCTTTGTCCAGGTCAAGCGGATCTAAGCATGATAAAACAAAAGCAATTATTAATCATACATAAGTGGCGATGTTCGCAAGTACATAGGTTACCATGGCGCCCTTTACTTATCAACGGTTGGAAAATTTCAGTCTTCCAATGTCTTTTTCTCACTCGAATGAATTTTAGCATGACTGTTATATAACATTTGCAGGAAAAAAATAAAGTTAGCTGTCCCGGTGGAAAATTGGGAAAAATGAAAGGTATTGGCTCATTTCTGGTTAAAAGTAACTATGTTATGTTTTAGCTTATCAGAGTTGATAAACCACCATTATGTGGGTGAATACATAATCTTCTCTTCATGAACGATTGTTTTCCTTTTCTTTCATTTCTGGTGTGAAAGTTATTAAATTTCCTGACATCAACAATATAATTGTTGCACATACAACACGTGATCAAAATAAAAAACAACATCATTCCCCTCATAAAATTTATCTCAGTAGAAAAAAAATCATCATTCCTTTCCTTCTTCAACGAAAACAGGTAAGCAAAACAAGAAAATCAAATCCGAAAAAGGAAGTTTGAAAAGTATCATCTATTGCACAAAATTTATAATCAGTGAATATCTATTTACACAAAACAAAAGGTGGCGTTTTTTACTCAAATTGAAATGCAATTGATATCCTCAAAACTGAGAAGGATTTTGATAAGAAAACTTGTTTGCTCTGCTTAAGACAATTTTTTCCCATTCCCAGCGTTATTCCACATTTTCCACGCGTAATTTCCATGAACGGCATTTTGCTGAATAATTTTCTTTATCTTTGCATTGAAAACCACAAAAGATATGAATAAAACTTCCTTTTTAGTCTAAAAACTGTTATTCGCTGTCGATGCATTCATATTTTTCAATAATATTGACATCAATTGCGGAAATTAAGCAGCAACTGCATCATTTTTGGGTAGTTAATAAGCACTTCAGCAATCCTTGTTAGTTTTCTAATCCCCAATTTATTTTTTATTTCTGTATTTTGAATCTCATTATAAAAAGAGAAGAATTTGAAAACAATCACAATATTATTTTTTCCTCGTACTTTGAAATTCAGTTATCGAAATCGAGCAAAAACTTTGTGAGTTTTACTTTTATTGTTTATTGTTTTTATTTAATTGTTTTAACAGGGCTCCCAAAAAATGAGGAAAAAAGCATCGTTTCTTGTATTGCCTACCACCTACCACGAATGTATTCTCAAACATTTTTTTTTTAACTTCAATAACCCATGTGATTGACAGGTAGAGAGACTTTGGCATGCAGCCGTTGCTCGCTCTACTTCACTCCCTTGCGCTTACATTCAGCGTTCATACATATCATGCTTATTATACAATATCATGCAATTCCACATGCACAGAAAATTGCATAAAAATTAATGATAATCAGTTTTTATATTGTATGAAATTGTAAAACAAGCATTTTTCCATCATTCGGCCAAATTTTTGAATTTTTGAACTGTAAACGGATTCCGCAACAGGCTGAAATTTTCGAATTTTTGAATTGCAAGCGGATTCCGCAACAGGCTGAAATTTTCGAATTTTTGAATTGCAAGCGGATTCCGCAACAGGCTGAAATTTTCGAATTTTTGAATTGCAAGCGGATTCTGCAACAAGCTGAAATTTTCGAATTTTTGAATTGCAAGCGGATTCCGCAACAGGCTGAAATTTTCGAATTTTTGAATTGCAAGCGGATTCCGCAACAGGCTGAAATTTTCGAATTTTTGAATTGCAAGCGGATTCTGCAACAAGCTGAAAATTGGTTTGCTGTGGGATTCGCAGAAGAGCTTTTTCCTTTGATTTTTTCGCTGCTATGGAACTCACAAACTGCTGACTGAAACATTGTATTGCTTCAAAATCCAAAACAAAATTGCGGAATTTATTACCATTTGTGGAATCCATAATTAAATAATTAATCATCTTTCAGTGGGTTGCGCTATCGCGTCAGCATTTTGTGAGTGGGTCCACAGCTTGTGCAAATTCTTAACAGAATCTGCATTTTGTTAACGGAATTTGCAAATTTTAAGATGAAACTTAAATCTGCATTTTAAAAAACCACTTGCAATTTGCAGAATTTTTTTTACAATCTCCGAGCCCGAAAGTGTATTGGCTCCTTGCAGATTCAGCGACACAACAACTAATGCGCCAACAAACTTTGCACTACAAGTAGTTGGCTATAAAATCTCCATCAATTTTGTTAGGGGATTACAATTACAATTTTAAGCTTTTATAAAGGCTTTTCTTTGGCCTTCATGGCTCTATACACGCCAAAACGAGGGCTTATTTAGAGCTCAGTGCGGCCTCGTAAAAATAAATGTATACTGTATGAATGACAGTTTTTGCTTGAAAAGTCCATTTTAGTTTGAAAGCACAGTGCTTAAACGTTGTCTTGTACAACTCATTCCATAAATTAAGTAGCAAGAATCGAACAAGTGAACAGCATACGTGGTTTCATCATGTAATTTATCATTTCGGACTTCACATAGTAGTATAACAAAATCACAAAACTGACAACAAACTGATTCCAACTGATTTCAATTTTCAATGAATTGGCTTATCTTCAGCCATTAATAATTTTTTGTTGCATGGGATAGTCAGATTGAGATCAACAAAACTTTTTATTTCGGAATGGTAACACCTCTGGTTATATCACTTAACTATAATTGAATCCTGAAACATCTTACTTCGAGATGACAGAAAGTTCAATTGAGTTGAATTGAAACAAAATTTTCAATTTTTTTTTTCAAAATTAGTTCATTCAGAAAAAAAAAATCATCAGCTCAAAAACGAAACAAACAACTGAAATTTGCGCATTTCGGTTTCATGATCTTATATGTGCCAATATCCATACCTCTAAAACTTTCGGTCTGGTAGCTTAGAAAACATTACTCCAGAGGTCTTAAAAAGCAGTCAGAACTTTCAGGGCTCTGCCATGATATTAGCAGTATTTTTTCCTTTTGTTTTCTAGTTTACCGTGGTTTACTTTTTGCCAAACTGTTTGCATTCAACGAGGTAATTTTAATCAGAGAGAAATTAGTGAAAAACTCCAAAGTAAAAAAGAAACCGTTTATCAACGAACAAAATAAAAAAAGGAGAATACGAGTTTTGTAATATGGTGTGACACAATTATTGATATAGTATTGATTAGCGGATTTGTTTGACACGATATTAAAGAAACAGTTCTCGAAAAAGGTAAAAGTTGACGCCTGAAAAAAAAGAAAAAGTTACTGAGGATGCGAAAGCTAAAGGAAGCAAACATGTACTGTATGGCACTTTTGCTAAAAATCAGCACAGCACAAGCAACTTAACAAAATTTTGTGTTTTATGCAATATGCGTGTTGTATGTACTTTTGTTCAAGTTAACAGCGAGTTCACGCTAGTTTTTGGCTATTTAATAAACAAGCACTAAAACAAAAATTGTTTTAATTTAAATTGTTTAAGCGCTTATTATTTTTTTGAACAAAAATATAAGAGGACTGCAAAAACAGTATTGATAAAAAAAAGCATCAAACGGCTTTGATAAAAAAGCAGCAGAGACTCGTTTGAGAAAATTGCAGCAAAAAAAAACAAGACTGCTCGTGTTAGCGCAAAGATATGGATGTTTTAACTGCCTTTTAAGGTCTATGGAGTACCGTTCGCTTGATAAATTGATAAATTTTTGAAATTAACAATTCTACTTGTTTTGAAAATCAACCTGCAAAAGCTAGCACAAAAGCTAGCTAGGTTTACTGCTAATTTATCTAAATGCCAATTCATACAACAGAAAAATATGCATTTCAATTTTTTGCTGCGATTTTCGAAGAAAACGGAACCTTTATGCTTTGTTTGGTTGTTTTTTGTTCAGTCAATTTTCAGCGATCGAAATAATAGTTTTAGCACAAAATAGGTATGCCCCACTGATGTCAAAATGTAAAAATCAAATATAAAAAAAGTATTTGACCACCGACCATTTTTTGCAGAGTTTGAAAACTGCCAATTTGACCATGCTCTGGACTAATTTATGTGCGCTTCGAAGATTTTATTCACAATGCTAAAAGCGTAACACCAACTATTTTTGCATGCCAATTATCACGCACAACAAAATCGTTCCGAATAGAATTGATGCTAGCTAATTGGTCGTATTAAATCCGACGCAAATTTGTACACTTTGATATTGCCCAAAATTTATACTTTTTTTCAGTTTTTTCTTCTTCAAAAACTATTCGATATGAATTTAGGGGCAGTCGAAACATTCAAGGCTTTGCCCTGATGTACTAGCAGTCTTGCTCAAAATGATTAGAGTACCTTATCACTTTCGAGAGCTCCAATGGTTTTATAAGTTTCCAACTTCTTATAGTCATGATAGGTTACGAACATAAACATGCTCTAAATGGAGCTGTAATTTCTCACCAATATCCCAGAATTTAGCAAGCAATTTTGAACTATTTAATTGCATTTTAAGTTCTGGAAATAGTTTCTGTCTAATGTGTAAATATGTATAAAAATTGGAGGATTCTCAGTGAAATTAAATTATCAACAATGAAGCTGAAATATTCTCAGCCAATTTGCAATAGATAAAAAGTTACAACAAATTAACAAATAAAAGACGGTTACTCGCATGACGCTGATCTTAAAATTAAAAATTTCAAAAAAGCAAAAAAAGGTGTACTGATTATAAAACATTAAAAGAGACTGGGAGGCGAAGCAATGGAAATCTGGAAGAAAAGAAATTAAAACATGCCTCTGGAAATAACTATCCGTTCAATTTTCGTCAAATAGGCTACTTTTTTTCTGGTAAATAACTGGTTTCTTGTTGTGGAAATTACATCAGAATTGTAAGCACAAAATGTTTATGGGAATAAAACCACGACAGTAAGATTGCGTGTTTCCGTGATTTTACCACTTCTCTCGCCTACTTTCTCTAAAGTCTGCCCTATCAGTGGCTTCTTTGAAGTTGGAAGGACTAAGGCGGTTCTCGAGGAGCCCGAGTTGCCGCGGAGAAAGAAAAAGAACCAATTTGACCAGCCACGGAATTGTCAAGGGGAGCCGAGACGACCGAAGAGTCAACTCATTGGGATTGTTCCCGACTTGATTATCGTTTCATCCAATTCACGACGTGTAACGAGCTCGAAATCTTGGAAACAAACTCAAACCCTCACTTTTTGATTCTGAAAGCGCTCCTCGGGAGTATTTACCAATAATCAGTCAGCAAAAATGTACAGAACCTGCCAAAAGCTTTCAACCTAGTCTTAAGAGACTAAGTTTGGGCTTTAGAAGACCTCACGCTTCAAGGCTTTTATCCCCTGAGATGGGTATTTCGTACGTTTCCCGGATCAGACGGAGTTGTCGAAAACCCGAGCCAGCGGCGCAGAAAAACCTTGCAGACCAACCTTGGAAGTCATCACACTAAAAGATACATATTTTTTAGGACAGTTGAAGCAGAAACCCGCACAAACTATCCTTAATTGTAGCAACCATAGCAAGCCAACCGATTAGGAACCGCACTTTGACTGTATGCCGGCTATAAATGATCCCAAAAATAACAAAAAAAAATTACGATCTTTTTTACCTCTCAAATAAACTTATATCAGCTTTAAAAAAATTGAATCTAAATAGGTTAATTGTGAAGAAAAAATAATAAATTATGCTTAACAATGTTTTTACGCATGTTAACAGCATTTTAACTTGTGATAGGGTTTTTAAAGGTTTTGCATGAGTAGAAAAGGTCTCCGTTTTTTTTTAAAAAAAAACATAGTCGAAAAAATAGCCGTTCAAGAGATCTCAAAAAAAAGTAGTTATTAGGTCTCAGCAAAATCCAAATCCCCCACCCTTCCTTGAGAAAATCCCAGAACCTCTTCTGTTTACTCTCTCTCTCTCTCTCTCTCTCTCTCTCTTTCTCTCTCTTATTGTTCCGACTTTCGATACGAAAGTAACTGAATATTTGTGCTCGGGTTGAGTTTTTTTTTCTTCAGACAAATTTTGACTTTTTAACTAGCCATTTTTGACGAAAATTTTTTAACATCATTCAAAAGGTATTGTTGTCCTGGGCTCAAAATTGAAAAGATATTTCACCTGTGATCATTTTTTGTAAAGTTATGGGGGTTTA